AATATCTCAGGAAAGTCTGAGCTTACTATTGTGAGGTGTGAAAACGTGCAGGCAGTTAGCAAAATGGCTTGTAACTTTGAAAAAGACTTCTGTTTTTGTACAATCTAGACAGTGCCGATCCATAGACATGCGCACAGTTTAGCTCATTCCATTATCACATTAGATGAAGGGGGGTAAAGTGCAGTTTTTCAAAATGAATATGTTCATTAGAATATATGAACAGGTTATTTTGTAGTGTTTTACAGCCGTTCTGAGAATTATTCGGACAGTCAGTTAGCAATATATGTTGGAACTTTGCAAAACACTTGGGTCTTTTCCAATCTAGACTTGATGGCGCCGTTGTATTGGCACGCTCACAATTGGAATCATTCCATTATCTTGCAAGGTGCGGGTAAAACGCGGTTTTCAAAACGACACGTGTTGGTTACCATATACTCGACAGGTTATATGTTGTATATGCATTCAAAGTGTTATTTTAAATTGTTATACCCATCTGAGTCCACCTGACATAGCGTAATTTACAAAACAACTCCCGAGTGTTGAGTAACCCAAGGTATTAATGAAACTGCAGTTTCGCGACAGTTTTGGGCCAAACTAAAAGTTGTTTTCACATTACTGGTGCTGTGAGTATGTCAGGGATACACAGACGGAAAACTCGATTATAATGGTTTGATGGATTTTGTCAAATCAAAAGTCTGCGCCTTCCTTGATCGAATCACTTTTTCAACTGCAGTTTGAAAATGATGGGGTATAACGACCGTTATTATGTCTAGTCCATTTTTGTAACAGGTACAACTGACTAAAATGAGCGAGGAGTTGACATTTTTTGACAGATTTAAGCAACATCCAACTTGTGATTTTCAAAATTACTGAAAATAATTACAATATAATTATAAAAAATAAAGAATGGTTGCTGTGAACGCACGCTAGATAATACTTACAATTCACCAAGCAGACAACCCCTATGAAATAGTGATCCCAAACCATGCGCCCGTCACTCAAGTGACGCCGACAAGTCTAGATTGGGCAAAGACCAAAGTGTTTTGCAAAGTTGCAAGTCATTTTGCTAACTGACTGTCAGAATAATTCTCAGAACGGCTGTAATATATTCTGAATTACGTACAATGTAGATAAACAAGAAATGCAGAATAGTTACTGAATACATACACAAAGTTTGAAAATCATAAAATTGAACGCCTTATGAAGTAGTGAGTTATACACAGCACACCATCTGTCTAGCATTAAATCTACAACAACAAATGTTGCAAAGTTACAAGCCATATTGCTAAACTCAACAGCTGTAAAAAATATAAGATGTCAGCAGAAGGTATTTGGAATTAGTACCTGTAGTACGTTAGGTTAGTAGTCCTTGTATACCTAACCCTTTAATCTTCAATGTATGTTTATGTGCAAGCTTTAACTAAATTTCAGGTTTGTTTGTGTTGTTAAATAATGACAACTACAGTAAGTGTGACTTTAAAGATAGCATGGTATAACCACTTCTAAACAGACCTATAGGCCATGACATTGTGACTTCATATGTTTACTTTTTTTTTACCAACCAGCATGTGAATGTCTAACAACAATTTTCACAAACTGATCACCACTAACTCACAATCTGATGTGCATACGTTACATCACAAGTTGTTTTATCAACAGAAACACATACATGTATATTTAATAACAGCAGCACATCGCCATTATTTTATCTTCAGGTATGAACAACTCGTTCTTACTAACCAGTCACTTAACACATAAAAAAATATGATGACCTATGATGAGATGACCTATGCCCAACTAGGTTGAAATCACTGAGCAAAAAGGACAAAATCAAACTTGAGATATTACCCTGAAAAGGAGTGTAAGAAGTGTCACATGACGCATGGAGGAAAAACGAACAACACGGAATGTATGAATCAATGCTACTGTATTCTGAGCAGAGTTCACACAAAGCAGCCAACCATCACTCAAGAATGTGTTCTTAGTAGTAACGAAGATGTATCTATGTAATCACATATATTTACTTCCTCACAACAACATGTTTGGGTTGTTCGAACTGAGTCATTGGTTTACCACCAGTACCACATGTACCTACACCTACACGACCTGTGTTTGATTCTGGTGTTGCAAAAATACTTTTTCTTACTATTCCTTTTTTGGCTTTGGAAAATGCCTAGATGGGATAGAGAGAAAAGAGTGTTACAATTTATTATCAGAAATAGGAAATTGTCAAGCAACAACATTAGAATGGATTGCCATCATTTCTCGGTTCCTATTTGAATGGGGTACATGTAATATGTATGCCTGTGAGCGAGCACAGTCAGTTTATTGACCCCACTACAAATAGAACTTAGCGTAGAACATCAAAGCGTGGGAATTGTGGAAATCGAGGTATTAGTTCGCAAGTTTAGCAGAATTCATGATGGCGCCAAACACGATTCGTGTTTCACTGCAGATTACAACAACTCGATCACTATTCAATATTACATTTTTTAGTACGATACCAAACAATGATTTATCATGAATATATGGCTTGCTTCGCAAGTGGGACGATAATGACCGAAGGCTCTTAAATTAACACTTAAGGCATTAAGACTCTTTGCAGTAGTCACAGAAATATAGAAAATATTTTATTCAAAACAAAACTAAAATAGTGAAAATACTTACTTTACTGTTAAATTGTTGCCATTTGCTTTTATCACCCTCTCGTTGTACTTCTAAATCTTTAAGTCTTTGCGCTTTCTTTTGATTCTTTTTCCTTTTATAATCTCTCTGAGCTAACAAAAGTTCTTTCCTGAATAAAAATAACAGTTTTTCATTTTATAATCTCTCTGAGCTAACATACATGTGTAAGTTCTTTCCTGAATAAAAATAATAAATTAAACACTCGATTCAATACACCAGATGAATGAAAGGCCTGCTTTACAGTGAAGGGCATAAAACTGTGGTCAATATAGATGTTTTATAAAATTTTTATATACATTTTTATAAATTGAAAATAGTATTGTTACATCAATGTCAGTTCTAGTTAATAATGGGTTCAACATTATTGAATCAGCAAAGGTCTCATTTTGAATATGAGGGCAGTCGTAAATGTTTGTTTGTGAAGGAGTGCTGTAAACTTACTTTGATTTAGGTTGATCACCATCTAAACCTGCTTCTGAGGAAGATCTTTTATTAGAATCTACAGGTTTTAATGATGATGCCTGAAAAACATAAAATGATAAATAATTATATAGAAATCTTTTATAACACCAAAAAAGACTAATTGTAGAGACATGTTTCCAGTTTACACAGGGTTTAGTTTACTGAAACTGATCCCCACCACCGAATCAAATTGGGTCAACTTCTTGACAGCTGGGAAAAGATTCAAGAAAAAAATATTGATTGCATATTGAGATAGGTGACTTTTTATGGCAGAAACAAAAATATTGTTGATCCTTGATTTCAAATTGCCATTTCCTCAACTTCAGTAAGATATCTTCAAGGTAACTTTTTCAATGTATGATTTTCTATAGAGTCAATAATACATATGGGAAATGAGCATGGTTGTGTCACAAAATACCTTTGCATGTGTCATTGATATCATAGTGGTTTAAAGGGTACACTGCATATTACCGTAAAATCTGCTTTAGAAGCTGTATTCCTAATAGAACAATTGAAAACCAAAAATACGCCTTTTCTCATATGTGTAGATGCTCTAATAGAAGCCACATCTCCTCCGTTGCATTGTACCATTTTGATAGAAGCTGTGGCTTCTAATACAGCTTTTACAGTAATATTGTAATTACCAAATAATATCATGATGTAACAGACAAAACAATCAGAAATCATCATTAACATAAAGACTGTTGTTCAAATACATCAGTTTCCCACATACACAATATCAGATGATTGTTAAATACCTAAACTGTTCATTTGAGGTATGGATCTTGATTAAATTACAGTGACATGTCAAATGATTTGGATGTTGCTACTTACTGATGTAATTTCTTTATTTCCCCAACCATTAAATGTAACTTGAACTCTACTGTCATCAACTATTTCTGATATAACTGCATCATAATACCTACAAATAAACAATACATAACATTTCATTACTCATTGTACAACAAAGGTAATTGCATTCCACAGGCACTGTGAGTTATCAGGTTGAAGATATATACCGTATTTATCCGGG